CATTATCAATACAAGTATAGGAATAGCCAATTGCCCCATCTATATTCTCTAAGGTGGTATAATTAGCCAAACTGGGCAAGGGGGTCTTATAGAATTTAGGGTTTAGGTAAGGGGTTGGGGGTTGTAACCCCGAGCTTCTGCGGCTTAACCCCGCAATACCCCAAAATAAACAGAAGTGAGCAATCAGCACACTGACTGCCACTCGCAAGTGCCTTTTCCACACGCGGCACTTCTCGATTTGTCTCAAGGCGCCGTGAGAGCCTGTTCCCATGTTTTGAGATGGGTGAGGGCATCTGGCATGTCAACATTCAACCGTCCCTTCAAGACGGAGACGTTCTTGCTATCCAACGATGGACACTTTCGGCAGACAAAGCTCTCAAAACTGTCCCGCGGAACTAGATAGATAAGCAAACATTGAAATTCTTTCTTGTCTGATTTGCACTTCGCCTTGAAAGCGCCGACGATGTTCTGAACATCGCCCCATTGAGCAGCCCTGTGCTGTTTGCCGACAGTTTGCTGAAACATGAGTAACTGGTAACCGTCCTCCGACTGAACTACTCCGACCATGTCAATCGACCCGTAGTGGACAGGAGCCTTGAGCAGACTTCCAACCTCAAGTTTGGGCTTCATCGAAGTCTGGTTTTTCACATCGCTCCGCTCAAAACTGCCAGGCTTCGCGAACGAGCCCTTGATCTCCGACTCGCTCAAGTCGCAAAGGTTGCCTTGCGCCAACTGTTTGTACGCCCACTCCTCGAACATGTGCCCAAAGCCTTGCATGGAAAATGGGTTCTTCATCATGGACGCAATCTTGGCATGCTTGTTGAGGTTTGCATCCCGCGCCTTCTCGAGGAAGAACCGCGCGACAAAGCTCGAGATGAAGCTCTTTGTCCCCCAGCTGTTGTCAGCGCCGTCACCATCTACCTTCATAACTTTGTAGGGCAAACGCTTATCCCGAAGCAACTTGACGGCAGAGCATGCTGAGCAGAAGAACTCATGGAGACCTGGAAGCTGGTGGTTCTCGAGAATGCCCTCCGACGCCAGCCTCATACTGCTCTCTTCCGCCAAATCATTACGGAAACACCAGCCAGGCACGCATCCAAAATTCCGAATGAGCTCATCACTGGCGTCGGGCGCCACAGCCTTGATTTCCTCGTAGCTCCACATGTGCATGACCAGAATGCGTCCAAGCTGATGTTCCACAAACGCCTTGATGAGTTGCTTGTAGTTGCCAACCTTTGTCTCCTGTCCCGACAGCGGTGAAGCAGAGGTCGTCACGAGCATGAATTTAAAATGAAGGCTCTTGTCCAAGCCTGCAATCTGCACACAGGGGTCAAGCAGCGCCAGTCTGTCGGCAGGGAGCTTCGCCAAGCTTCGCACTTCTCGCAGTTCATGGACAGCACAACTGTCATCCATTTCATAGAAAGCATCTCCAAGGTTAAAAATCACCTTCGGAAACCTTGCTTTCGGCAGCTTCGGATGATTGTTCAGCCATTGCCGCATGACATAGAATCTGAACGCGCTCTTGCCAATACCACTCGTGCCGACGATGATTGCACCACGCTTTGCGCAGGCCTGCATCTGCTCAATAAGCTGCTCATACTCCGCCCGCAGCAGGAAGTTCAACTCTGTCGCTCCATGGCGTCTGCTGAGCTGCAGCTTGTCCAGAAGCTCTGGCTGCTCGACTGGGACCTTGAGGACTTTCTGTCCATCTCCATCCGGCTCCTTTGTATCACGCAGGGCTCTGAAGAAGCTCGTCATCCCCGCGTCAGTTTGGAGAGCCTGAAGTGCAAAATCACACCAAAGCTGCGTCTAAAACAATCCCCTCCTCCTTCTACAACCGAAGACACCAACCCCCTAAGCCCGACTAAGCAACCCAATCAACTAACCCAATCGGGAAACCCTACGAGGACACCAAGCCTAGGGGAATAAACCACTATGCTACAGCCAAAGGGCCAACCCCTAAACCGAAAAAAAGCCAATGAAGTAAGCCTATGGGGAATCTTATGAGCGAAACGGGAAAGACTACAAACCCAGAGGACTAAAAACAAGCATGTTATATTGGAGCTGCAGGGCTGGTGGGGGGAAAGTGCTTTTAATCCGGCTTTGCAGCGTTGCAGCCACTATACGCCGCTGGTCCCTATCAGGAACGCTGTCTTCCA